TTGAGTCGGTCATAATAATAAAAGAGGAGACATTCTAAATGTTGACATAAATAATTTTTAAAATTTCTATCATTCAGTTCTTTTTATTTTAAATTAATTTTATTTTTTCCAATTTTATTTTCTTTCAAAAATATTTGTCAAAAGACACTCAAAAATATTTTTGCCAAATTCATTTTTTATTAAATCGTTTAAATGTTTATTTAATGAGGTAAATAAAAGAGATTGAAGTGTCTCTTTTTAATATAGTCCTTTTAACGACGCCGTTATTATTATTTTTTCAGCTTTTTCTCTGTTGGATTTTTTCCATTAAATATTATTTTTGCAAAATATTTATATAAAAATATGATTTTTAAACAAATTTGGACTTTACTTAAGTGTTATAAAAATTAGTTGTCCACTTTAAGGAGCTGTTAAAGGTAAATATTAATTTAGATTTAAGATAATTCTCATTTTAATCTACTATCATTTTTTCAGCTCCGAGGTAGGTAATGGTCAAACTATAATATCTACTTCCAAAAATAATCGGGTTTGATATTATATTTTCCCTGTTAATAATCTTTGATTGAGTCCAATTCCATGAGATTATTAGTATAATTTTATATTATCATTTATAAATTTTTAATCTTTTTTATTTTAAACCGTTTGCCGTCTTCCTTTAAGGTCGTTACCCGCAGGTAAAGCTAGTAAAAAACGAGTAAACGTGGGATGTAGTTGAGGGGTAATTCTGGAAAAATTAGGGAAAAATGGATTTACATAGCCGTATACCCTATGTTAAACGGGGACGTATAAAACACGACTTTCAATGAGATATTTTTAAAGCAATTTATTTCTAAATTTTTTTCTATTCAAAATTTTATTCAAATAATTTTTTATTGCGATATTTTTTATAGTCTTTTGATAAAATTACAATTATTACAAATACAAATTTCAAAAATTTTGAAAAATATTTTCTAAAAAATTTTTTTTCTTATATTTTTTCCTTCCCCCAATCTACAAAGTGTCAATTCTCATTTTTCACAAGCTTCTTTTTTTATATAAAAACATTGACAAGTTTTAATGAGAAAAAGGTTATATTTTAACAAGTAAAAAAGCAAGTTGAAATTATTTTTTTATTTTAAAGAATTGGCAAAAAAGCCTTTTATTATTTGTTGGTGCTTTTAACGGCAAAGTAAAAAAGCATTAAATATGTATTTCCTTTTTGGCTTTTTTAATCCTTTCCATTTTTTATGGAATTACTTGACATTGGAAAAGTATAAATTTTTAAAAGTATAAATTGAGCTTATTATTTTAATAAATTCTTTGAAATTTAGTAAAAAAGAATTTGTTAAATTTGTTATTTCGTTTAGTGCTCTTTTAATTCCTGAAGCAGTCGAATAGCTTATGATAGAACTTCTATAATTAACAAAGATTTTTTACAAATATTTTTTAAAAGCTTAAGCAATGATTTTTTGGAACCGTTAAATGATTAGGAATTGTTAGTAAAAATGATTTTAGAATTTATGTTTTGAGGGCTTAACGAGTGTGACAAGGAGGTACTAACGTGTAAATGAAGAATCAAATGAATCCTCCCCCAGACCCGAATCTCCCAGTCCCGAATCTTCTCCCCATTCCCGCTTCACTGACTGTACTCTCCCAGTTTACTCGCGGATGAACAGGGGACAGGAAACAATCAAGAATTTTTATTAGTCTTATCTAATATTTAATTTTCCGCTTAATAATATGCATAAATTTTCAATAGTAGATCTTTAAGACAAATGTATAATAATTAAATTTTAAAAAGCATCGAAGTCTCTGTCATGAAAAAGTAAGGATTTATTTTATTGCAAAAAAGAAAGAAAAGGATCAAATTATTTTGCTTAAAATTAGAAGCCAATGCCCCTTGCTAGTTAATCCCCCCTAATGTCTCCTCTTTAAAAGGCAAGCAAAAATAATATAAAAAATACTTAAAGGAATTGAAATTGAGCTAACTTCCGTCAATAATTTAAAGGACATTTATGTTTAAATTTTTATGGCAATTTTACAAATTTTATTTAAAATTTTATATTTATTTCGCTTATCTTTAGTGTTAACAAAAAATATAGTTTAAATAATAAACTAGAAATTATTTCACGAAATTAAATCAGTAATTGTTTAAATTTTTAAACAATGTATAATACAGGGTGACATAAAATTAACTGCACACGTTATTTTTCAAATAACTTTATTCAAATTAAAGATAATGAGATAAAGTAAGGCTAAAATGATAGAGATTTAAACAAGTAAATATTAGAAAGTAATTTATGATTACCTAGACTTTACTTGGAAATTACTGTGTATTTGTTATAATAATTTTATTAATTAATATTGCCAGATTTAGATAAAGCTTAAAATTATTAGTAATACTTCTAATAATTCATCCTCCCTTTTTAACATTTAAAAAACTTTCAAAAATTTTTTTAATTTTGAAATTTCCCAACTTCACAGCATTTCCAAATCCTCAAAACTTGAATAATTAAATATTTTACGTATTAATTATTTTTATTATTTCCAATTTTTAATTTTCTTTCTACGCAAATATTTTTTACGTTATTTTTTACTTTTTCAGAATTTTAAATAAAAATATTTTTTTAAATAAATTATTTATGGACTCCTTTTATTTTCAAAATTATTACTTAAATTTATTTAAAATTACCCTTTTTGTCTATACAATGTTAAAATTAACAACAACTACATTGTTGAATAATGGAGAATATCCATGGATTTATGATAATGATTTATTTGGAGGTTTTTATTTTTAAATTTTTTAAATTTTTTAAATATTTATTTTTTAAACAAAATAATTAATAAAATTTTTGTAAAATAAAAATTTATAATAATTCGATTATTTATTTAAAATTCAAATTCCTGCCGTAAAAAGCATCTAAAATAGTGACCGAATCCAGCCGGATTTTTCCGGAGTCCGGGTCCCAAATCCGGGTTTTTTTAGTTTTCGGACTAAAACCGGACAGGATTAATCCGGAAAAATCCTGTCCGGCTCCATTTCCAAAAATAAAATGGGATTATTCAATATTTCTTTGTATTAACATTACTGATTGAAATTTATATTTTTTATTTGGGTGTTAAAAGGGTTATGATCATTAAAAAAAAAGAAGAATAATTTTAAAAAATACGAGAAATCTCTAGGAAGTAAAGTTGGCGGATCCGGATTTTTCAGAATTTTCGGTTCGGATATCCGAAGATTTCCAACTATCCGCCAACCTTACTAGGGCGGTGACCTTCTGTTTTTATTTCGTCATTACCTCAAAAAAATTTTTAAACAAAAATCTAATTAATAAAAATCTAAATACCCCCTTTAACTACCCTTTATTATTATTTTCTTTAAATAAATTCCAAAAGAGAATATGTATGTTTTTATATAAAATACCCGCCTATTACACTTTCTTTTATTCTACCAAAGCTTTATCTAAAACAAAAAATGAAAATAAATCTCACGCTTGTTTCTCAAAAAAAAAATTAATAAAAGAGAAGGAAATTTTCTTTTAACATTTAAGATTCTAATTGGTATCATTTTTATATTTTATTTTTAATATTTAGTCGGACCTCAAACTCTATATTAGATAATTTATTTTTTTTAATTGGTTGGCCAAAGGGAGAGGCTTCCCAATCATAAAAATACTGCAAGATACCCTTCATTCTAAAATGTATTTTTAGTTATCCCCAAAGTGGTATTCAATGGATAGTGAAAGGCGGCATTAAATTATTGATATTCTTGCATTATCTTTAGGGGGTTTCTCACTATCACCAACCCTCCCCCCCTTCCCCCTAAGATTATATGAAATACCGTAAATCCTCTAAACTAGCCCCAGAGGGTTATTTTCTTAATCGAACTCTGGAGGGGGGCTATTTTAGAGGAGGGAAGGGGGTATTTTAGGGGGGGGGGGGTTATTTTCGAGGATGCCGATGGTTGCTTTTCGTGGCTTCCTCCATAAATCAAGAAATTTTCTCCTCCTCGTTTTAGAGACGTTTAGCAACTTTTTATTTTTAGAAAAAATAATTTTATTAATATAAAAAATGAAATCCTCTACCCTTTTACTTTACATTTGTTCTTTATGGAATCCAATCTTTTATTTCCTTTATTGTTTTTTATTCCGCCAAAGTAAAAAGCACTTCTCTCTTTTTATTCCTTCATTCAAAAAAATGCCCTTTTGGTTGGCCGCACTTGGTTTTTTGTGTATACAGCCTTGTATTTTAATTGGTTTGAATGAAATATTTTTTAATTAAATTAATTAATTATTTATTTTTAAAATTTTATAAAAACAATTTTTGGTTCCTTTCCATTATACTTCGAAAAGTCCGCAAGTTTTGTCTGCAATTTACACTATTATTTTTTATCATGAAATCATTTTCGTTGTATATGAATAAAATATCTACTTTTAGAATTAAGAACGCTTTAGGAGCACCAACTTCTCTTTTACAAAATCCTTTTTATGTCTCTCATCTAAATTCTATCAGCTTATGGGACTACCTTTTCCTTTGAAAATGATGATCTTTATTATCCCTTAATAAAATTCTATATCTAAAAAGTGTTGAGATTAATAAAAAGTCTATACTTTTCATAAAAATTTCCGAAATTATTGCATATCAATGAAAAAAATTTGGAAAAAATAAAAGCTAGAACCAAAAGTAAGGACCTTCATACACATATTGAACTTATATTAATAAAACTATTCGCATGGGAATTCTTCACGTTTCTTTTATTAAAAAATAATAAAAAATGTTTAGAAGCTTAAAACAAATTTTTATTTAATTTTATTTAAGGTCCTGATTTTTGGGGACTTATGCATAAACATTGGAGAATGTGTAAAGCTGGAAAATTACAGGCACACACAATTTTTAATTTACTAATGATAAGAGTATAAGTAAAATTAACGAATAATTTTTTAATAAATAGGCTTTGTCCGACACTTGATTATCCGAAATTATCCTATACTTATCCGATACTAGCCGATACTTGAGCCTTAATGAGTATTTACCATTAAAGAAAGATAATTTAATAAAAAAATTATTTATTTGACCTCTATCACTAATGTAGACAGATCCTTGAAAATTCCCTGATCCAAATCGAAAATTTCCATCCGCCAACCCTTAATTGTATAACTTATAGTTCTACACTCTATTAAAATTTGGATTAGCGGAATTTAGAAAATTATAATTAATCACTATTTTAAACGCAAAATCAAAAGCAAAAAATATTTTTAAATTCCATCAGTCTCAAAAATTAAAATTCAAAAATAATATTTTTCTTATTTTATTCAGAGTCCAATAAACTTGGATCCAGAAAAGTATGTTGCTTCCTTTTGTTTAAAAAACAGAAAAATATCAAATAATTTAAAGATTAGTGTTCGATCCAGGACTTAGCAAATTAACAATTTCTAGAGAAAGATTAGAAAATGCTGAATTGTGGAATACTGGACAATTTCCTTTACTTTTTGTTAATAATTCATTTAATAATAATGAACAAGCTAATAATAATAATTTAAATTCTGTTAATGTTAAATTAAGTGGAGGCCCCGCATTTCCATATAATTATCAATTTCAACAACTGGTTAGGGAATTTTTAGTTATCTTTTAAATTAATTTTTATTTAAAGCTTTTCCATTTTGGAGATATTAAAAAAGGAGAAGTTGGTTCTGAACATACAATTAATCGTGTTAGATTTCCTGCGGAGGTTTGATATACATATTTAAATTTATTAAATACACCTAATAATCTATTATTAATTACAAGACACAGATTTATATCTTAACAAATATAACTGAATTAAAATAGTATCTCTCATGGGAAACTTTTATGTGATATGGGGAACTTTTATGTGATATATGAGAAACTTTTATGTGATATATTTAAATGTATAAATCTGGGCAATGTAATTATTATATGTCGGTACAGAGGGGGTATGAGGATCTCGTGACAAATTTTCTGGAGTCTTATGATTAGGATTTTTTGAATTAATTACATATGGTTCTTTCCAATTTTTTAAGCTAATCCTGGGTTACGACTTTACCAATCCCTATTAATTATAGAAAGCATTAATACTCTAATTTTATGGGTATTATATGTTGGCAGATATAGGCTTTCTTAATAAATTCTTAAATAAAGCATTTAACTAATTTTAGATTCAATTATTAGCCTTTAATTCCGATCTCTACGAAAATTTTACTCAAGCGCAATCACAGCCTAGAGGTCTTTTAGCTGTTGGAATTATTGTTGATGTAAAATTTAGTTAAATATAATTTAAAATTATATAAATTTATGTAGATTGGTGATAAAACAAATGTTGAATTAAAACGCTTAGCTAAAGCAGCAATAAATATTAAATATAGAAGTTAAAATTATTTTTTGAAATTTTTAATTTTATTTTTTAAAGATCAAGTAGTTCAAATAAAGCATTTCCAACCTTCTGCTTTACTGCCTCACACAGATTATTATATTACATATGAAGGGTCATTGACATTCCCCGGATGTTTCGAGACCGTTAACTGGTATTTATTAAATATCTCACTCTCTTAGAGTTTCGGTTCCGGACCGAACCGAAGAACAGATGATTTTTTTGGTTCTTAGGTTCGGTTTCGAATATCTGAAGAATTTCAGGAACCAACAATCCTAGGCAGGAATCGTTCCACTTATACTTATATACATTAGCCAGTAGTAAGACTCTAAGACTAGCTCCGGAGCTGCTTTCCAGAGCAACAAAATACTGAAGATTATGTGCCCCATTTTCCCCATTTTTACCCTTTTTTACCCAAATATTTCTCTAATTTTTCTTTTTAAGGGTCATTTACAATTCACCAATATATATAACAGCTGAAGATGTATTTATTTAATTTTTATTTTTAATTTATTTTTTTAAGTTAAATTTATGGTCAGAATTATTACAAAGCGAAAAACCAACAGAAATAAATACAAATCTAAAAAAGAAGAATCAAGCTGATGATTCATCATTATTGTCTTCTCCTCCAATAACATTAAGCTCAAACTTTAGGCCGTTGAAAGCACAAAATGGCAGAATTTTGAGGACAAATATTAACATAAAATTAAAGGTGATTTATTTAATGAACCAAAAAGAGAGGGTGTAATGTGGGGTGATTTTTAGGAAGAACTCTCTACATATTAACGAGGTTGAGAATATAGATAAACGAGCTTTTTGTTCAGTAGTTTTCTGATCCGAATTATACTCTATTGTTGATATTGTGTCAAGTTAAAATAGCCATTATCCTATCCCTATAGGAGGTACTTGAAAGACGAGAATGGTTCTCTCAGTTTTTGGGCTAAAAATTCGATTACCGTATTTCAACCTCCCTCTAGACTGTCGTTCTAATAGGGGGTGTCGTTCAAATAGAGGCTGTCGTTCTATTAGAGGAAATACGGTATATTCAAAATAATTTAGTGAATAAACACTGAACTTTCTAAAATTTTAATTTTTATATTTTTTAGCCTTCACCTCCATTTCCTTATTATTCTTCTCCAACAGATGGAAACTGTCCAAGTAATGTTTATGTAGATATGGGGTATCAAACAAATCCAAAAAGAACGGAAAAAAGATTATTACAACAACCAATGTTGAATAAAAGTGGAAATAGACAAAAATAGATTATGAGTTAGTATGTATTAGATATTTTGGGTTGTTTAAAATTTTTGGAAAAATCACGAAAATTCAATATAAAATGCTATTTATAACGTTGAAGACGTATGTATATTTTTTAGTTTCAATATCATGACAAAAAAATAAAAATATAGGAAATCGACATAGGTAGTTTTGCATGATTGTATAACAGTTTTTAGGATTTAGCATTTATACCTAGCTCGTTATTGTCATCCCCGTATGATAAAAAATTAATGAATAATCATGATTTTATAGGCTAAAATTAAGGATCATAACAAAGGGCTAATTCTTTTTGGGTCAACCCATTATTATTGAACAAAAGGGCTTCATGCCTAAGCTTCTCAATTGTTTCTTATTTTTGAATATCAGCGTTTTGTATCATATTTGTACATGTAATTTTGGAGTTTTTTTCTTTCAAATAAATTACTAAATCATTTTCTTCATTTAAATAAATTCCAAAGGTATTTAACCAACCGTGTCCACTAGTAATTGAATGAGATGGTGCAAGATCGCGATCTGAAGATAACCTCATTCAGCTGGCAGAATTTTTATAAATAATATTTTTCCCGTTTTGTTAAATTACATCTCATAACAACCATAAATATACATTTAGTCTTTTAATTATATTAACTCCTTTATTATTTAAGGTAAATAACTACTACTTAATCTACTCCTTCTATTTGAGTTATTTTGTAAAACCCGAAATTTATGTCACCAAAACCGAGTATATGGGACCAAATAATTGTTTTGAACTTAGTTAATTTTTGGTCTTGAATCTGGGGGTTAGGTCTTGGGTCTTGGAGACAAGCATTTTTTTCTTTGCAGACAAGCATTTTCAAAGCATTTTCAAAACACATTCACAAGCATTTGCAGACAAGCATTCCAAACTGACTCCGGATATGCCAAAATTCACCGATCAGGGATGGCATCTCTTCCGCCTATTATAGCATTTTTGGCCCTTTAGCTTCTGTTCCTATTTTTTCCGTTTTCTTGCGCCTTCCATCTTCCTTTTTTAAAATTACGGAAAATTCAACCTGATAAAGATTTCCTGAACTATCTGCACTGATTATTTGTCATAACCCTTAGCTTATATTTTAAGCATTTTTCTATTTTATAACTCAAAATAAAAATATCTAGTTATGTTGACAGAATAATCCCTTCCTTCGTTTATTTCATCAACCTAATTAATTTTCTGCTCAAATAAATGCCCTTTTCCCATTTAAATTAAATAAGGTATTTAACATTTAATATGCCTCACAAACAAAATTTCTCATTTAAAAACAATCTTCCCTTAATATCATAGCGGAGATGAAATTTTTTGATCTGAAATGCAACCAACAACGCCTTCTCTTCTTTCACCTCAACTTTAAAGAATTTATTCTTTTCTTTTGCTAAATATTATGTTTTTATGTAAAGTTTTTAAACTGTTATTTCATTAAATAGGAGATCATTTTGTTATATTTTAATTTTTAATATTTCTTTTAAATCCAAGTAATTTGATTTATAAAGACAAAAGTTGATGGGTGCGGAGCAACTGAGGGAATTCCAAATCACGGAACAAACAAGTCAAGGAACGGCCAGCCACCACATTGAATGACAAAAACATTGAAAAAACATGGATCGTTCCTTGACTTGTCATTTTCTTGTGCTAGCCCGACATGACTAACGAAGTTAAAAAGATTTTTAGCGTGCCGTAACCTGAAAGAGCAAAACCCACGTAATTTAAGCAATTCAGAGTTGTGGGCAACTCAAATAATTATTAATTTTATTACCTAACTATGTATAACAAACTTTCTCTAAAGAGGTCATGAACAAATTACCAAAGATTATTTTAGAAAGACATAATCTTTTTTCATTTAAATTCATAGTTTCTCAGATTTGTTATTTAATAATTACAATAAATTATACAAAAATTTATTTCTTTTTATTTATCTTTATAACGAAATATTTTAAAATTTGAGGACAATAAATTAAAAAGTATTTAAATATTTTAACAAGAAAATGGATAATAATATAAATAAAAAATTATTAGACAACAACAATGACAATACAGAAAATGACAAAGAGGATATTCTCGCAACTTTTAGAAAAATCGTAGCTTCAGCTCAGTTTATTGGACATTATAATAATCAACAACAGCAAAATCAAATTAATTATTTTGAGGAGATTAAGGGAAATCAGATTGAGGAAATACAAAAAAATAATTTTAAGCAGTGTAGGTCAAATATATTTTCTAAAAAAGTTCTAATTTTACAGATCAGTTTGTGATCTTTGTCATTTATAGGCAAATAATAAGAAGGGTATTTTGAAATCTTCAGTCACGGGAAAATTTCAAGTCCGCAAAAATTCTGGGTTTCTGGGGGGCCAAATCCACAGTATATGTTATTGGCCATTTATTAATTTCAATTACACTTTTTTATTTTTTGATATGATCGTGATATCATTGAAAATTATAGTCAAGTTTTATAACCCTAAGTCTGTATATTTTAAGATAATTATGTGTATATTCGGAGCATAAAGGATGGCAGAAGTTTCGCGTACTAAATCCTTTGATCTCTAATTTCTAATTATTAAAACACTATATGTTTTATATTTTCAAAAAATTACTTTATAAATTTAGGCCGTGAGAAGAGAAAATTTACTTCCGAGGTATCTGACTTTCTTGTTATTGAGGTTCTAAAGAGAAAAACACTTTTAGTAGAAAATAATACAAGTCGGGTAATTCTCTAAAAAATTTTACCAAATTTTCATCCAAAATTTATTTAAAGGATTTAACTTTTTCTGAAAAGAAAAGAAATGCTTGGAATGATGTTCGTTTACTTTTATCAACCCGTTTTGTTGGTTTTGATCAAAATATAGAAGCTATTAAATCTCATTGGCGTTATAGAAAGAGAAAAGTTACTGATATTTTTGGAGAATTTAATTTGTAAAGTTTTTATTTTTGAAATTAAATTGCGTTGATTATCAGTCAGACATTGGGGAATATTATATCATTTGAAAGCTCTCGATATGCAGTATCTGTTTTTAGACTGGAAAGATTACATTTAATCACTAATTATATTAAGCATGGTGAAAAACTGGTAATGATTTCGCTTATCTGTTTGTAACCTTATTATGAGTGATCAGACTCGATCTTTCTACTTGAAGAGACGATAGCGCTTATCGTTTCTCCACATTGAAAAATTCCCACATTTTGAAGATATTATTTGTAGTTTTTAATAATATTATTTTTCTTAAGTTCTATCAACCACGAAAATAAATTAAAAGAAAAATTTACTCCAATTGATCTAAAAATATATGAAGAATTGAGAGATTCTAATATGCTTCAAGATTGTTCTATGGATATTGACAATACCTCTATTGTAATTTTTTTATTTTATTTTTTTGAATTTTACGAAAAATTTGGAAGATCAGAAAAATGGGAAAAATTTTTTGAAAAATTTCGTTTTTTAGTTTGTCAAGATGAATAAACTATTATAGAATAAGCTCTTAATAACGTAGGCCATATACATATTAGGACATTTATGTTAAATTAAAATTTTGAAAATAATTGTTAGGTTGTCTGTGTAGGTATAATTTTAGATTAGATTAATTAGTAAAAGTTGGTTTATCCAAAACTAGTGGGTATTTGACTACTAAAATGTTTACCATACATACTGCAATTATATTGAGAGGCTAAAACCTAATACTAATCAAAATAATATTTAATTATTTAAGAGTGAAACAAGTGACGAAACATCTCCAACATCAAACAACAATTTATTAAATCAAAATGAAGATTCTCCAATTTATTTAAATCAAAAATTTTCAAAATTAACAAAACCAACAAATTTAATAAATCAACAAAATATTAATTTAAATTCATCTTCATTAAATAATAATCAAAGTCCTTCTACCAATAATTTACAATTTATTTTAACCCAATTAATTGCTAAAAAATATGTTCAGCAATTACAAAATTCTAAACTTACAGATATTAATTTGGAAAATAAAAATAAGGTGAAAAATCAGTTATTTGATAATAATAACAACAAAAATACGGAGGTATTTTTGGGTTGTTATTTTTATGTCTGAAACCATTTTTTAAGTTTTTAAGTCAACGAACAACATTGGTAATATTGAACCTGACAGACCCCATTTCTGCTTCCCAAAGTTTTTCCCTAATATCTACAGAATGCTCAGACTTTTTCCTTTTTACCCCCCCCCCATAATTGCCCTTCTATATTTTGCCTACAAACAATCAAATGGAACTAAATTTTATCCAAGGAAGGAAAATTGAAGGAAGAAGTTTGACCATTCTGAACATATATGTATAGGAAGAAACTTGGGAATTAAAACGAAGTCTGTTAGGTTCAATATTACCCCAACATTTTTTAGGCCATAATTTTATATAAAATACGGCCTAGCTATAATTCGTTTTATATTGTATCATTCATTTAGTCTCTTTAGGCTGATTTCAAATAAGATTCTGTGTTGGAGAAGAGACCTCTATATTGAAAAACCTTAAGAGAATAAAGCTTATTTCTGGGATTCAAATCAACAAATTATCAAATGATTTTTTGAATTGCTTTTTAATATTAAAAGTGTTAGCTACCCTGGAGGGATCCAAAACTGAGAAAATAAAAATTATATAATTCATATACCTTCAAAAATCCATTAATTTATTATATTTATAAATTTTCAGCATTCTCCAAATATTGAAGAAAATTCAAACTTAAATGAAGAAAACGAGAAAATAGAATTAACTTTTGAAAAAATGAGAGGAAAAAAGCGACATCTTAAAGTTGAAGAAGAGGAAGAATTTGTTAAAGATAAGGAAGATACACCAATAAATAGCAAAGTTGACGAAGAACCTATTGAATCTCTTCAAAGGAAGGCTTTGATTGTATGTTTAGTTTTGAAATAATTTTTAGAAAAAATTTATTATTAAACGTTTAAAAATATGTATGAGCTATCTAAGCGTCCAAGACTATCGCTTGCGCCCCTAAAAAATTTTTTGTAGCATTTTTTGTTTTGAAACATTTTCTGTTTATACGGACGGAGTTTTAGGTTGCCTTCTCGCTAAGGGTTTTTAAAAATTTTGATAAATTTTCTTGGAGTCTAGTTGGCGTATAAGCCTCGATTGGAACTATAATGTGTGAAAAGAATATAAATCATTTTTATTTTCATAGGCCCAGATCTCTGCTTTTAATGAATTCAAAAACAGTGCACAAATTGTTTGTAATACTGCTATGGAGCTACAAGAATTATTACCACAATTGGCTGAATTTTTAAACAAAGCTCTAAATAAATGACAAAATTAAATTTATTTTTATGATTGAAACTTAATTTTAAATAAATATTTATTGACTCTAGTATTTTTAATATAGTTGCCGTCCAACAAGAATTAATCAATTGTAGGATATCTAAGTAATAATCCAAGTAACCGCAGCTGAGAGTTGGTACGAGTACGTAGCTAAAGATTGGACAAACGGCAAAAATCAAATATCAAACCAAACTATTTGATATTTGAAAGTATATTAAAAAATTTGATTTTTTTCAAAAGTGGTCAAGCAAATATTTGATCAAATAATATCAAATAAAATTTGATCAAATATCCGATTTTCAAGGTCAAATATTTGTTTGGTCCGATCTCTACCCGTAACCCCTTTCTTACAATACCTCCCAGCGATTCAAAGACATTACAATAGCTTTGACATCGCATCCTCTTTTAACCAAAAATTTTCTGTTTCAGCTTCCTTAATCTTAGAGCTAAATTAATTGTGTGTTTGGGTAAATTAATCCTTTTAACTTATAAACAAGCATTAAACTTTTTTCAAAAATATTTTTTTTTAAATTTTGCTAATATGGCCAAAAAATATAATGTTTTTATTAGTTTTAAATTACTTCTTTTAGAAAAACCTAAATAAACAAATTATTTTTTGGACAAACAATAGCTATTCTTGCGAGAGAAAAATCAATTTATTTTTTCCCCAGATTTCCCCAAAAATTTTTTCCATTGATTTTCATTGCTAAATAAATTTTTTTATTTAAATTAATTTTTTAAAATAATATTTAATAAATACAATGTCGGTGTTAATAAAAATTTATATTGAAATTTTCTACATATAAACTTAAGCTCTTAAAAATGCTATAATTATAAAAATATCGCTTAATTATAAAAGAAAATTGTTGTTTCATTTTTATTTTATTCACAACAATAAGAAAATAAGTTGTATCAAATTAGTCCTTAAATTTTATAAATTTTTTTGATTATTTTTTTTCAAAGTTGGGCAAAATTTTTTTGGACAAAGAAATCGACTGATTTAGAGGCTATTGAGCTGAGATATAGTTCTTTAAATGATAAAGCAGAGACTAAATGTTAACTTTAAATTTTTTAAATAAAATTTTCTAACAATAAGTTGTAATTTTAGACTATTTCGATGCTTCTTGACGAAATGAGTCGATTGTTACCAAAATTAACAAGATAGGATGATTTTATCAACATTTAAGTTATTTTAGGGATGTTACCTATTTTAGTTTGAGACATCTAGTCTGCTTTTAGCATTTATCCTCTGCTTTATTTTAGTATGGCTAACCAACCCTCAGCTGCGGTTATTTAGATTATTAATTAGATCTCCTACAATTTACTTATTAAAGTAAATTCTCGTTAATTTAACTCTAATTAGGTTTCGATATTATTAATTATAAAAAAAGTTCGCACTTTTTCAAGTAAAACTTCAAAATTAAAAATTTTTATTTTTTGTTTGATTACTTGAAGATAAATTTATTTTTGGAAGTTAATTTTAAGTGTAAAAAAATTTTTTCATTAAATATTATTATCTTTAATTATTGCAAAATTGATTCCTTCTCCCTGCCATTAAATACATATAGCAAGGAATAAATTTTTGCATTAATTAAAATTCACTTCCATAAATTAATTTTGCAAAATATTAAAGCTGCTTTAATTAAAGCTAGCTGTCAACGCTAGATTTTAATTATAATGTATTGTAAAGCATATCGCTATTTAATTCTTAAAGCTATGCGGTCTGATCAACTGAAAATGCTAATTCACTCTGAGCGGAAAATGAGAAATTTCCGTAGTAGCTGGCAGGATTATAGCCGACATAAAAATAATTCCCAATTTAGGAAATCGAGTCGGCTATATCCTTGATAGCTATAGACCGTTCAGCTTTACTATTTTAAAACTTGTTCAAAATAAAATTAAATAATTTTTAGTATAACTATGTATTATTGGACACAATCGGTTATAAAATTGGAAATTTTTGAGAATGTGTGTTATTTAAAAAATTTTCCCAACAAAAAATTTGTATTTAACTACAATTTAAAACCGAAAACTGAGTTTTTAAAATTTGGATTAACCGAATACTGGGCTTACACTAGACCGTTTGTGTCCAACTCTAATAACAACCATTAAACATATTCAAATTATTTAACAATATAAGACTTTAACAGAGTTAAAAAACCTTTATTTATTTTCAAATTATGTCACATGCATAAACAATCACGTTGTTTAGGCATGTGAGAATTTTTCTCTAAAACAATAGCTGGGCATGTGAGACAAAATCAATTAAAAAAATTTTTGCCCCAGTCAGTGTTTATTTTTCAATGCTTAATAAATAATAATAGCTATTTCTTAAATAAAATTTTAAAAAATCCTCGGAGGTGCTGTTATTTTCAATGAATTTTCTGAAGGAAATAATTATTTTTCATGAAAATTCCAATGCATATTTTGAAAAATTTTGTATATTTCAGTCATATTTTGGACTTTTTCAGTGCATGGATTTCCGTGCATATTTTGACACGCCCTATTGATAATAATTAAAACACTGAAGAAATTTCATTGAACTCTTGATATTTAATTGGACTACTAAACTAGACCAGAGCCATATTTTTTTTTTAAAATTCCGGGTAGAAAACAATAAATCATTTTAATAAAAACTTTTTGATTTATTAGTATAATAGAAAATTTCCACTGCAAAATTAAAATTATTTACTAAGCTGTTAAAAATATTTTCTAATTTATATGTTTTAGATGAAATTACCTAACAACAATTTTACAAAATTTATTCTCCTTCTTTACCCGGTGATTATTTTGGGTTCGTTCAAAAATAATCAAACATTTGAACGATATACTCGTGAGCATGCTTTGAGCGGATTAAAAGTTGAAAATAGAAACAAACCTTTAATAGAACAGTTAAAATCAGAGATTTCACTTCAAAATGAGAAAGAAATGAGAGACTTACAAGAAAAGAAAAACAAATCACAAAAGCATGAAACAATTGGACGTATATTACAAACACGTAAAGATGGGGAACTTAAGTCTGAACCTTTGAAAAAAGGCCAAATGAATGATATGGAGCCGCCAAGGATGGCTACTTCATATTCTCGACCTTTAAACTCTAATTTTGTTGGAGAATCGCAATTATTACAAGGGAAAAGGATTAAACCGATAAATACAAAGGATAAAAGTTTTTATTATCATACAGAAGATATGAAACAACCTAATAGCACGAGTTCTTTTTTCAGAACATATGGGTATATTGTTGTTATTATACTTGTTATTACCATAAATTATTTTATATTCTAGACATCCAAACTCCGACCTAGTTGAAGGATCGCAATTACTGCAAGGGGATAAAATCAAACCGATAAATACAAAAGAAAGACGCCGTCATGCGGATTTGAAGGAACCACAAAGCACGGGATCTTATTTAAGAACAAAAGGGTGAGTTTATGCTAAGTAACCTTTATTATCCTAATTTTTGTATATTCTAGAACTCTAAAATCTCACTTTGCTGAAGAATCCAAAATTGAAGCAAAAGAAAAACCGATAACTATGAAAGCAAGTGGCCACAATTATACAACTAACGAATTGAAACAACCACATACTGCGAGTTCTTATTTCAGAACACAGAGGTAAAATGAACTCTAGAAATTTTAAAATAGTTCTGATAACCTTCTAGAGCTCAAACAAAATTGCATTATGATTATGACCGACTTTATAAAAATACTGGAGATCCTCAAATAGGACCAAGTTTGAAATCAGTACGTACGAAACCAAAAGAAAATGATAAAAATTATTCACACAAAATCGAAGGCGGTCAAGCAAAAACACCTTCTTCAGCATCCTCTTTATTAAGAAAAATTACTGCTTCATTGACACATGGGAATACTAAAGCAACACCATCTCATAAGCAAAGTAATAAATACGAAAGACATCAGTCAAACGAGAGCGAAAAATCTTCAATTTCTTCTTCAAATTACAGTATAATCATTGGAAGCGAAAAATACTCAACTTCATCGTCAAAGTACGGTATAATGGGGGGGGGCATAAATCGCAAAAATTGTGCATGCGATAGTAAAATTTATTTAAAACTTTCAGATCTTCTTTGTTGGATCATTTTCACGGAGAAAACTTGCATCCTTCAAAAAACAATACAGGACAAGATGAATTTGATTTTAATTTGGGAGATAATTTGTCAAAATTAAGCAAATTACGTTTAAAACCAAATAAAAATGAAGAAATGGAGGAAAAGCTAACTGAAGAAGAAAAAACTTCGAATCCCAAATCACCGTTTTCAAGATTTCTTTCGTCGATTACGCCTAGAAGTTTAACTCCTAAAAATTTAACACCAAGAAGTTTAACACCAAATAACCTAACACCAAGGAGTTTAACACCAACTAACCTATCACCTAGAAGCTTAACACCAACAAATTTAACGCCTAGAAGTAAAACACCAAATTTCTCGGCAGCGAAACTTTATGAGAAAATAAAATCATATGAGAGAAGAAAATCTTCAACTAGGTATTTATGTAGAATTTTAACTCCTAAAAGAAGTTTAACTCCTAAAAATTTAACACCAAGAAGTTTAACACCAAATAACCTAACACCTAGAAGCTTAACTATGATTGAAATTTATTTTAACAAAGTCCCTAACCAAATAGCAACATTCTAACTAGTGACCGGAAAATAGTTTTCCGGGCCCGAAAACCGGATTTTGGATTCCACAATCATGTCGAACCAGATCCGGCGACTAATTCTGACAAAAATATCATTTCAGAGACGTATTTTCATCAGAAGTTACTCATTTGTATTGTTTAAATCCTCGGAAATTAAAAAAAGATAAAAATTACAGTAATTTAATATTAATAAACTTCAAATCACATTTTACAAAACGTGATCCATTTACATATGAAAATAAAGAGGTTGAAGGTTCAGTATTGGTCTCTTTAGATAAAATGATTGGAAAGGGAGGAGTTGCCGAGGTAACCTTAAATATGAATAAATATGTGCTTATTTTTTATAAATTATTTTAATTACATATAAATGTAGTTAATTTAACAAATTTATAGATTACTTGAGTAAAATTATAATTTCAAAAATGGTATTTCCCAGAAATTGTCTGATATACATATTTTAGGAATTTAGTTTTAAGAAAAATTTTTTAATAATACCTAACATACCGTATTTCCTGTATTATAGCCCCCCTCCGAATTAGTGCCCCCCTCCTTAATAAAGCCCCCGTTTCGAGGATGGTTGAAAAATAGACTCGCCCCCCTCTTTAACAGAGCCCCCTATTTATCAGATGACAAATAGGTAATTTACAACCTAGTCTGTTATTGCGGATTGCGAATGCGGGTTTTAAAATTAAAATTGCAGTCTAAAATTAAAATTGAGTCTCTAAGAAAATAAATCATATATCGGGGGATTTGGGGGATATACCGTGGTATCATATATCGGAGGATGAGGAGAGGATATCGAAGGTTTAAGGTGGATACCGGTAGATAGCTATTATAAAAATGGGGTAAAAGAATTAAGTAAATTTACCAGGTTCTCTTACTCGCGTAATAGAACCCAGAGCTGAGGGTTAACCCGATTATAAAGAAATTGACCCAGAACTCGATGATTATTTGCAGCTGCGGTAATCTAACAACGTATGGGGAAACATGCTGATTTTGGGTTCGAAAATTCAAATATGCAAATGTCTTCTTAAGAATGCCCCAATTCCTCAATATCTCCCTAGATTCTTATTAATTCCATGTTATCCCAATTAATCCACCTAAATAACTTCATACCGCTCTTAATCCCCTGATCCACTTATATGCCTCAATCTCACAAATTCCCAGATATACTTCTTTCTTAAACCCTGAATTTGGAGAACAGAAAAACTATTGTTTGCAATATCAATTTTTCCTATTTTCTTTCTACGCTAAAATTTTTATTTTGAAAGTTAGGTTGTAAATAAATTTGAAAAACCTATTGCTTAATTTGAAAAAATAGGTTGAAAAATAGAGCCCCCGTCTGAATTAAAGCCCCCCTCTTTAATATAGCCCCCTTTTCAGGATATTTGAAAAATAAAGCCCCATGGGGCTCTAATACAGTAAATACGGTAATATAATAAATTAAAGGTTTATCGAGGAATTTTTTGTGATGGTCCCAAGAAAATTAAAGTTGCTGTTAAATTATTTAGCTACAGTACAACTTCGATAAGGTTTGAAAAATTGGAAGATTTACTAAAGGATCCGAAAAATGAGATGGATGTATTTGAGGCATTTTATAATCAAAATCATTCAGACCAAAGTGGCATTATTAAAATGTTTGATGGGTAAATATTTTTATTTAAATATTTAACGGGGAGATATAAGACTATTACTAATTTCTAAATTATTGGCAAATTATAATAAAAGGTACTTAAATAATTAACTGGGTATTTGTGAATATTTATGTAAACGAGGAGTAGTTGTCTAGGATTGATAATATCTTTATTTGTATGTATATTCGGTTTTTTACAGCGGTGAAATTCAAAATATCGTGTATGCGGATAAAGATACTCGAGTCGGTTTTAAATATCTAATTATAACTGAATTGGGAGGAGATAACTTTTTTAAATATATTGAAGATGAAATCTACGTCAGAAAAGGACTTTCAGAATCGGAAATAATGACGGAATTAGAGCAACCAGCAACTTGTCTTATTCAAATTCACAAAGGTTTCTTCATACTTGTATTTATTTAAATATTTTAGTTGCTATTCATATGGATTTTAAACCAGAAAATCTTGTATTTGATTCTAAAAACAATTTAAAAGCTATAGACTTTGGAGGAAGTATTCTATTGCCTAAAGAAAAATCTCGTTCAGATGGAATTCGAGTAAAAAGGAAAACCACATCGCTTTATATAATGCCGCCTGAGATAAATATACCGCTAAAATTTGAACTAAATAAGAATTATAAATCTAAGGTAAATTTATTTTTAACAACAATTTAAAAAATTTTACGGTTTGATAGTTTTACAAGGGGACCATTTTTATAGTGACTTTAATATAAATCGGGAACAGTGATGGGAAAGTTCCAAAATTTCTCTGGAACTAGTTACAGTTCCAGAACCAGGTTTTAAATTTTTTTAGTTCCAGTTCCGGAACTACATTTTTAAAATTCCTTAGTTCCAGTTCTGGAACTAGTTCCAAGCTAGTTCTAGTTCCAAACTTTAAATTTTTGAATATGAAGAGATTTATCAATTTTAACAAAAAAAAGGCACAATTTAAAAAATCATTTAGTGTGCGGCAAAATCGCATTCATGGGATCCCTTAACGGAATTTTTTTCAAAATTATTTACGGGACAGGATCCCGCGCGATTAATCCCGTAATCCCGATAATCCCGTTCTAAAATTTAGCGAAATCCCGTGGGGTTTCGGGATTTTCACATAAAAAATTTTTTACGTAATAGATATCAGGGAGATCAGAGGATTTGAAGGGATTTAGGGTTCTAGTTCCGGAACTGGAACTTTGCCCATCATTGGTCGGGAACGCTTGCTTATAATAAAAAAGCTGCCTAATTTTCAGAATTCTGCTACATACAGCAAAGAATATGCCACAACCAAAACTGACATATGGGAATTTGGAATTCTTATTTTTCATATAATATTGTTCAACGATAATCAAGCTTCGGTAGGAAGTTATGACAAATTGATTAATGATTTAATAAATTCTTAATGAAATTCGTTTAAAATTTTTAATTAATTTTTTATAAATTAGGTTTCGGCTCTTGCAAAAATCAACAACTTTTTTAATTATTTATTCCTTGCACAAGATAAGATTCTGAATAATTTAACTAACTTCAATGAAACTATAAGATTACTTCTGAGAATAATGATTAATTATCCATCCTTGTTTTTACTTGCTACGGTAAATATTTAAAATAATATTTTATTTTAATTATTTTAGACTTTGTTGGATGTTGATGAAGATAAACGGTTATCTGCTAGAGGAATTAAAAATTTTTTAACGTCAAAATGTCGTATTGGAGATAAGAGTAAAACATTTGAATTGTTTTTAGAAACCAAGAATTTTGGAAATTTTACAAATAGCTATAGGGATTTGCTTAAAGCAGGTCAGAAAAAACTGTCACTTCTTGAGAATTATGAAAAAAGAGTTATAGAAGAATGTGATCGAACTTTTTAATTTTTTACATATTCAAAATTTTCTGTGAAGATATTATTCAAGTATTGATTTCAAATATATTTTGCCCTTCTATAAATAAAAATCCCGACCATCCTCAGAATTTATCATATTTTCCAGTCCATAACTTTCCAATCCTTAAATTATTCGTATTTTACTTCACACTGAACGTTTAATTCCTCATATAAATATCCAAAATGTTCTTATATATTTTTACTAAAGTTTATAAACAGAAACGCAAAGTAACCATCTCTGTTTTACATATTTTTTAATTATTTTAGACTTTGTTGGATGGTGATGAAGGTAAACGGTTATCTGCTAGAAGAGTTGGCAGACCTTTATGTGTTGTCTCCAATACTTACAGAGACAAAACCGTTGTGGTCGAGCCCCACCTTTTGAAGGTATTATTGACAGCCGCTAACTTAATCCTTTTTTCTCTTTAATTTTACCGACAATTATTTGTTTGCTTATGCATAATGGATATACTTAATCTTTTAATCTTTTTATCATACCGACTGACCTATCTCCCAAATTAATTTTACGGATTAAACTACAGTTTAAATATTTTATTGAAAAATTATTTAAAATAAGTTCTTTGATTTTTATGAATGTTGATGTCGTTCATTTCTCAGCTTACTTAATTTGAGGATAAAAATATTACCTTAACAAAAATGCTATATGATGGTTGAGGACGGAAAATTGCCTCTGCTAATACGTCAAACTTTAACCAAACTTCCATCCATCTCACTCGCCTTATGAGTGTATTGATTCCTGCTTTATTTATTAATATTATCTATTTTCGGTAAACTAGGGTATAACTTTTTTAAGATAAATTTTTAAGATCAATATATATTTTTTAAGATAAATATATAATTTAATGGATAACAATCCGGTTTGTGTTGTAAAACCTGGTAATCTAGTGATTTGTACAACAATTGAGAGAACAACAACAACAACAAAATCAACTAGTTTAAGAACACCAACAACAGAATGATGACGATGTTATTTTTGTCATGGAAGTTTTGTGCTGGTTTGATTTCAATTTATCTATCATCTAACATTTTATTTATATTTTCTTTTAAAATTTTAAATAATATTACGCAATAATTTATTGATTTAAAATAATTTCTAAATTCTTATATTCCTAAAAAATTTTGTCTTATTTCTTTTCACTTTTTTTCTAATTTTTGTTTTCTGAAGACTTAATTAAATTTACAATCCATTCTTTACTATTTTTACTTGATTTTTGTATTGCTTTGATATATAATTTAATTTAAAAATCTTAATAAATGATAATCTAAAATAAACTCTAAATATTGCTCCACAACAAAATAATGAAATGATTGAGAATAATAATATCAACACAATATCAATAATTTTAATAATATTATTAATAATAATATCAACACATAATAATATCAACAATAATATCAACATAATACTAATATCAACACAATATCAATAATTTTTTTAATATTATTATTAATAATAATATTTATAACAATAATAATATAAATTTATTAAATCAATTAACAGCTTTATTTCAGGAGCAAACTGATCAGAATAATATCTTACCCCATACATGATCAATAACTTAGATTATTGATTTGAGACTTTAAAATTATAATTTAAATAATTTAAATAATTGATCATGTATTTTATAATTTAATTATAATTTAAATAATTTAAATAATTGTCATGTACCCCAGTTTACATTTCATTTGAACCCAGTTTATTTAATATTTTCAATTTATTCGACCCCAGTTTACAGTTAGTAATATTTTCAATTTATTCGACCATAGTTTACAGTTAGTACTATTTTCGAGTTATTTGACCCCAGTTTACAGTTAGTAATCATTTTAAATTTCATTAGACACCAGTTTAAAGTTAGTAATCATTTTCAATTTCATTTGACCCCAGTTTACAGTTAGTAATCATTTTCAATTTCATTTGACCCAGTTTACAGTTAGTAATTCTAAAAATTCTTAGTCTATCATACTCTCTCATATTCCCATTTCTCAATGCTTTTACAACTGGTTCAAAACTTCTAATATTTAATTTTTATTAATAAAGTTTAGTTTATATCGTTGCCCTCTGTGGTGAGGGAAAATTTAGTAATCATTTGTGAGTGCCTTGTCAAGTGGCAAGGACAAAAATAATTTTAAAAGATTATTAACTGTAAACTCCGGGTTAATGGGATTGAAAATGATTACTAACTGTAAACTAGGTGTTAAATGAAATTGAATTTTTTAATTTCATTAACCCCAGTTTACAGCTAGTTTTTTTTAACATTTTTTTTAAGTTTTTTATAACATTTGATAAAATTAAATAGCAGATTAGGTGCTTAACTATAAATAGTAAAATTACCTGACTGAAAAGATTTGTGCGGACTTTAAACTCATTTTTAAGAAAAAAATTAAAAAGCGTTCATTTCCTGGAAATATTATGGCCCTGTACATATATGCTTTTGACAAATTCACAGTTTTTAGTCAATAACACTGCTTTATTTCAATAATTTATATCAAATTATGGAATATTCTGTTGATGAGATGTATTTTATAGAATCGTTATGTATATCTTTATCATTAAATATTCTTTTGATTCTCAAAAGTTCCGCAATAAACTTAATTATAAGACATACATATATTAAAACTTGTTTAAAAAATTAGTTGATATTAGCATACAATATAGAAGCAAATTTGAAATTTCGGCATCTTTTAATAAGTTTCTTCCATAATCTAAGGATTATGTTCTTAAAGCATTATTAGTTGAGTTTAAGCAATTGAAAACTTATTTAATTTATTAAACAATCTTTTAAATTTGCAACTATGGCCAACAAATAAAATGCCTTTAATCACCCCTTCAATTTACTTCTTTTACATTGCGTCTTTAACATAATTTTACATAGCACGTGAAATTTTTTTATATAGAGAATAGAAAGACATGCAGAAAAAATCAATTTATTTTCCCCAAAATTTTCCCCACTCAATGCTTAATTAGCAATGCTAAATAAATTTTTTTAATTAAATTGTATGTATGTATATAATTATTAAATAATATTTAATAATTAAATAATATTTAATAATCAGTAGTTTTATTCTACTGTTAATTTTCAGCGTAAATTTCAGAAATGGGGTTAGATTTTTTTAAAAGGTGTATCCACAAACATTTTCTGTTTTAAAATCTTTTTCAGACTCGGGGCAATAATTTAGTACACTTAGATTTTTATCTGTTTGAGTTTGATTGAGATTTCACGATTTTTCTTGGAAAATTTATTTTTGGAAAAAACGAACTTTTTTATGAAACGACCTAGTATTGCAAAATAATTTAGACGCACTATAGCAAAAATTCTAAATTAAAATTTAATTTTTTATTTAAAACTTTGGGTTTCTAGAAATAATTTCGCCCTAGGAATTTAATTTAAGTACCCACCCTTTTACTTAAGATAATGTTAATAAATATTGAGTAAATTATAATTAGGGAGCGGATTTTTATTGAAATATGTATATCTTTTTTCCAAAATATATTATGTCGAGAGAAGCCCAAATATTTTGAACGAAGTTATATTTCATTATATTTTAATATTTGGCACTTTTTTTAATTATTTCAATATTTTGGCATATTTTTACCAAAATACATTTTATGAAAAGTTTTAGGAAACAGTGAAAAAATCTGGCAGTTCGACCTCCAAAATTCTCAAAATTTTCGCATGCGGCACTGAAAACGGGGAATTCTGAATTATTTAATGGGGAATTCTTGCGGCAGATGGGGTGTCTCACTGGACCCAAAATGTCTCACCGGACAAAACACAAAAATGCCCACTGATCAATACCTCAAAATGACCATCCCAATTTGGCAGATCTCAAAATGTCCATCAGAGCAAAAATACTCAATTCGTCGAACTATAGCATAATATATGCAATTTAAAAAAAATAAAATTTGAAATAAATTTTGCCAATTTATTTCAATATTTTATGGCCATATTTGGCGATTTTATTTCAATAAAAATCCGCACCCTAATTATAATAAATAAGTACAAAAAGGTCAAAGTAACTCTATTGGTGTCCGAGAGCAACAATACTTTTTATACGCATCATAGCCGTGATCGGCATGCACAGCTTCTTCCGCATCGACTAAAACTATTTTAGTGATGATGCAAGCTATTTAAGGAGTAGGTTTGTAATCATATACAAAATGCAGAAATGCTCAAAACCCGAAAATGAATAAAAAATAGAAATGAATAAAAATTATTTTCTATAATCTAGTTATGTTAAAAATGCTGTAATTCAAAACTTTTTCAAAGATAATTTATTAATTTATTTAAAATAAGCTTTTTCGGTGTTATTTTGAGTGAAATGTACAATAGCCAGAAAATAAGAAACTTTATTTACTTAAAATTACCCTCCGTTTAGCC